TTCCGCTGTCCACGAGTAAGGACCCCCTGGACCCTGGGTATTCATTGAAATTAGTTGAATTTCTATTGAAAAGCTTACTTCATCTTCAATGCATGTTTGATATAATTTCTAATATTTGCATTTTGAGCATGTATATTAACACACAAATATTCTTGAGAAAAACCTAACTGAAGGAAGATGAATCTAATCATGATCAGTTCTACAGAATTTTATTTTAAAATTCGTCATGATTTGCATTTTTTTTTTTTTTTTTTGTGCAAAAATAATTTTTTTCTTTTCATGTTTCGAAACTTTCACCATTTACACCCTTTCAAAATATCTGCATATTATTATACTAAAAAATCAAATTTAAGAATGTAGTGAATTCTTAAATTTACATAAGTATTATCTGGACATACATAACTATTATCTGTTTCTGTTCGTTTACTGGGCTCACTTTAGAACGTTAGATCTTTGCGAAAGAAAATTGTAAACTTTAGAGCAAAGCGAAAGAAAATTCGAAAGTGCAATTTACATTTAAATTTTTCCAATATCGATATTACCTGCTAATTGCATTAAAAGTAGGTAACAGAGTACAAGAATTATAGTAAGACTAGAATTCTCTTATTGCAGGTGTCGAGTTTACCATTGTATGCGAATAAAATTTTTGAATTGCTTTCTTATTATAATTACGTGTTTGCTATAGTTTAACCTTGCTAATAGCCGAATAGTAAAATACTTGCTGAATACTAATAGTTTCATTTAGGTTCGAACATAGGTGAATGGGCTGACTGCATCATTGGTGTTTAGTGCTAGTTTCCCTTAGAAAGCCTTTCACGTTGGCAGCCCTCATAGGTTTGCAATAAATAGCTCTCTTATGCTCTGCAATATCTGAATAGTCTAAACTATTTTTAGTTGAAAATGACTAAATTGCGCATTTTGTTTTTGGGAAAAAAAAAAGTATTTTGTTGAATTTTAGTTATTCAACAAGATACCTTCTTTCCTCTAAGAAGAGGAAAGGGAAAAAAGATTATATATTTATTTTTAACTGAGCCAGCCAGTTATATGAACAAAATTTAATTTTGCTTCCTTTAGTTGAAATAGAAATATGTTGTGCATTTTGGTGAATAAAAGGAGTTTTTTACTTCAGTTTTGCCGTAGAATGTCTGTTTTGTATTTTATTTTACAGAAATTAAAATATTAATTTTTTTTGTTGCAAACACTAGGTGTTTAAAATATTTTTTGTATTAAAAAACAGCAATCTCACATGTGCATAATAATAAATAAATATAACCCAATAGAAAACAAACCTGTTGCCCAGATATTCTTGGATATTCAGGTAGATTGTGATCATATTATCCTGGGTATTCGTTGAAATTAGTTGAATTTCTATTGAAAAGCTTACTTCTTCTTCAATGCATGTGTGATAGAATTTCTAATATTTGCATTTTGAGCACGTATATTAACACACAAATATTTTTGAGAAAAACCTAACTGAAGGAAGTAGAATCTAATCATGATCAGTTCTACAGAATTTTATTTACAAATTTGTTATGATTTGCATTTTTTTAGTGCAAAAATAATTTTTTTCTTTTCATGTTTCGGAACTTTCACCATTTACACCCTTTAAAAATAGCTGCATATTATTATACTAAAAAATCAAATTTAAGAATGTAGTAAATTCTGGGAAATAATCTTAATTCAAGTCTCGAAAACCAAATTTAAATATAAATATTAAAAAACTTATGTTTCTGTATTAGGTAGTTACCTTGAAAGTAATAGTGATGTAAAATGTTTAGTAAAACTATGTATTACCTCTATTTAACTATAGTATTTTGAAAAATATTTTCAATTTTCTGACTGCACATACAAAAACTCATGTTACATAAAACGCATCAAGAGCCTTGGCCCATCAGGCGGACTAGCAGTAAATTCTCTGAACACTGGTAATTCGGCCCAGGATTCGAGTCCCACGAACAAGCTCACTGCGTAGGCGTTTTCTTTGTTTTCCCCACGTGCAACATGTATACGAGCCAGCTTCCCTCAGCAATTCCTCCACGAAGACATCCCTACCCTTAGGCAAATAACTTCTGAGTGTTTTGCCATAATCAAATTAAATAAAATTTAAAAAAATAAGTAACAAGAACATTAGACTAGTGTCTCTGTTTGATTTCTCTTTCTATATATATATAGAGAGAGAGAAAAAATGGAAGGTATAGAGACTAATAAAACCACAAGATTCAATCAAAATCCGATTCCTTATAATTTTTTAACACGCAGATTTCTAAGGCCAACTGTTTATTTGCTTTTAGACCTCCACACAAAATAAGTAGTGGAATAGTAAAATATACAGATAATATCTTAGATTTTAAAGAAAACAATATCATTATGGTACAATTAATAAACTCTCGGCTTTCCTTACTTATTGCTGTACACAAAAGAGGAAAATTGCATGACAAAAATTTAGACGTCTGTGATTATGATTAGGAAATAAACAAGTTTTTTACTTCATGTTCAGTTAATTAGTTCTGTCATTATATCAAGTAAGTTGTGAAATATTATTTATATCCGTAGTTTTAAATAACTCTGGATGAAAGATATCCAAAGCTGCAAATAAAATAAGAAATTTTCTAAGTACCAGGATATTTTACTTTATTAAAAAAAGTAAGGAAAACATATCAAAAAAACATATTGTTTCAGTGAGAAAATATTGCTTCTATCCTAGGCATATAGGAGGTAAATTAAGTAATTAAAGTGAAGGTTACTAGAAACACAAAAATATTTTGATATTATGCCCACATGCATATAGATTGCTCATAGAAGAGTTAAATAAATAAATATCTATATAAACACGTACACACACATATACATGCAGGTTTATGAACCAAAAAAATTAAACATTTATTATTCTTTTCTTTTAATGTCTTGATTTGCAGTTTTTCACAAAATTTAGATTTGGTAACATAAGCCCCGTCTTACTCTTACAAGTCAGATCACAAGCGCTAACGTATACCTTCTTGGAAACTACCAAAGTTTTGACAGTGATTGATATTTTTACAGCTGACACTAATCAGTTCACTTGATGATTCTCTGCAGGTGTTGGAGGGTAATAAACACTACTTAACGCTTTTCGTGCACCCTGTGAAAGAAAGGTTCCGCACTTTTCAAAAGTTTTTGTTGACAAAGTGGTGATGCTTTAGAAAACAATACCTTATCTTTCTCAAAACCTCCAGAGGGTTAAAAAAGTAAAAAACTAATACTTTTTTTAGCTGCCACAATATTCTTGGTCTTATGTGAATAAAAATAAAAATTGTAGGGCACTCATTCATAAAAATTGTATTGGAATAACTGAGTTTTAAGGGTAGAAGTGATAACATAGTTGTACATAAGTATATAAATAGACTGAAATGAAAAAAGTTTTATTAGTGTAGAGGACTGTTCTTATTTCATTTGAACAGTCACAAATGACTGTATTGCAGCTGCAAAAAATATGATACAAGATAACTAACTTATCACAAGTAAGATGATGGCATCAGTTTTAAATATTATTATTAGATTATCCAAGAACATTTCTGAACAGTGGAAGTTCTACAACATATGTGCAAAATGAGCAGGCAAATGCTTGATACTCGAACTGAAAAATGTGCCAGTGTTTTCTAAGAGCTTTGTCATCAGTATAAGGTTGCTAGTGAAGCATTTCTGCAACATGTCATTGCTAAAGATAAGAGATGGGTACAGTCATTAATTAAATGAATTTCGAAGATTACTGTGTTATCTGACTATGTTATCAGCTGATAATGTGGGAGGTAGCTGCTCACCCATCAGAAAAAATTCATGAAATTTTGAGATAAATAAAAATTATCATGTTATCTATATAAGTCTGTTGAACTAGATAGAGATAGTGTTGACATATATGTAGTAATTATTTTGGTGTTTGTTATAAATATTTAGTAAATAAAAAAAAATGAGTTTCTGACATACAAAATCATATAAATAGCTTGTTTTATTCTTACAATTTTAACCGTTTGATGGCTACGTGGCGCAAAAGCTCTGCATTCATTTATCTCGAAAACGCGAGTTTCAGTGTGTCTTTGTTGCTTTATAATATGAAAAGAATTATTAAAATTTATTGATATTTGTCTAAATGAGTGTGTTTTATTTGACAACATCAAGTCAAAATATGTCCCACAGTTTTCGTGTGTTCTTGCAAGAATTACTTAGCAGTCAAACGGTTAATGAAACATACCATAAGCAGCTCTTGTACTCTTAAGTGATGCTCTGAAAAGAGTGAAATAGAATGACTGAAAAATGAAAGTGTTCTCCCCTGCCAGTATTTCTTAGGGCAGTTTCTTGTTTGTGGTATGAATCTCTCATAATCTCATGACTTATTGATGATTTTTTCTCATATCTCATGATTATATCTCATCATTTGTCTTATATGAATCTCATTAACTTGCATCTGTATTTCATAAGAGTAAGGTTGAATATGTTCTCATATATTTTGATGAAAGTACTTGTTAAAATCTTTTCAAAAGTATAAACCAAAGAGGAATTTTTTCTTCCAGAAAATTTTATTGCTTTCACCCTGATTCTAGTTAAGTTATCTCTGCTCATTTACTGTTTGTGTAAGCTGTATGGTATGTTGAAATGGTGAAGGGAAGGCTAATCAGAAAGTACTAAAACTTTCAGCAATGACAAATTATGCTTAACTACCAGTTTCAGAAAACATTTTTTGTAAATTGTATATCATATACGAGGTATGTAAATTTAATAAAAGTTCTGTGTAATTTGGATATTAATGAAAGTAATAATACCACTGTTTCTCAGTTTCTTTTAAAAATGTACCTATTATTCTATTCAAAAGTAAGTAAAAATGTAAGTTTTTTTCATTTCAGAATGTAATGATTGAAGGTAATGTTTTAATTTTGAATTACATATGCTAAATGTTGTTGATAATGCAGTTTTACTAATAATAAAATAAATAAAAAATTTAACGGTTAATATTTTTTTTTTCTCCCCAGCTGAAAGATCTTTTAGAAAATGTTGCTGAAATAATAGAGAAAAAGAATATACCCATTTCATCTTATTTGTGTACTTGTGTATATATTCAAAAGTGAGTAATTTTCCTTTTTTTTAAATTACTTTTTACCCTCTTGAAAAAGCATCAGTTTATGATAACATCATATCACAAATAAATATCAGAAATGTGAAAGCATTTTGTTGCCAGTGAGTAATGCATAAGATCTTTTATTTATTTCCAAAACTGTAAAAAACAATTTTTATCAGTATACAGAAATGGATGATTTAAAAAACTACAGATGCTTTCTGATTTTTCACACATCGCATCGAAAACTTTTTTGAGCTCGTTGCTGAGTTAATATGCAAAAGACAATTTTTAAAATGGCAGTACAATAAAAATTCCGTACAACATCAATCAATCAATAAAATTAGAAAAAGCAAGAAACAGCAGTAGTAAAACACTTACCTTTTTCAATAAATCCATTTTTCCCCCCACTTGCATCTACCTAGTAAACTGTTTTTGCTTTTAGAAACATCAGAAAATTACAAAAACTCAGCATCCAACAATTCTAGTATTGTAAACCATTCAGACCAGAAATGTGCTAAGCTATACCTGGGTTTTCACATAAATACATTTTGATAGCATAAAGGGCTGCCACTTAACTATTTTGACAACATACTGCTTTGGCTCATGAATACTTTTCCACTATTTTTCAGCAGAGATGCAGATAATCAGAAAGTATCAAGTTATTTTATCTGTACTTTTTAATAACATTTTCTGTAAAATTTTACAGAAAATGTTATATTATTTATTTATTTCTCTTAACGCTAACGTTAGTGTTATTTTACACTTCTACCTAATTAATCAAGGTAAAGCAAACTGCGTACCTTGTCCCAATGGGTTCTGCCAGGGCCACCGGTTCAAATTGATCTCCATCTCCATAAATCCTTTGAAGGGAATAATCCATAAATGATCAATACATTCTATACACAGACATGCTTTAATGAAGACGCAAATGATTTACAGAATATTTACATAAGGAAAAGGCTTTAAACTTGGCACAACGCAGCAGGTGACTTCTCCATTCCAAGTTCTTGTACGATCTCTGAACGAGAGTTCATAGTTCAAGATGACGTCACTCAGCCATCGAATCTCGGCAAGAGTTGAGTTGTAACATCCTCCGGCCTGGAAGGACAATTGCTGTAATTGTCCTTATTACATTCCAGCTTCACTGGATATAGTAGTTGCAGTGGTCTTTTTGATCGTATGGCCATTGGGCAAACGGACAGCACAGGCAGCTTGCCATCTCTTCCAGGAAAGATTTCCATTATGATGCCCATCTTCCACATCACCATTGGAATTTTATCTTCATGCGCCAATACAATAGTTCCTTTCTTCAAACAGGTTCGTGTTTTAGCCAGTTTTGAAAGATGAGCAGATTTTAAATTCATCAAATAATCCCGTCTCCATTTTCTCCAGATTCTTTCTACCAGTATCTGTTGATGTTTAAATTGACATGCAAGACTCTCCTTTGTTGAAGTTAATTTAGAATTTCCTTGTGGCAATGTGAGTAACCGTCTTCCTAGACCAGGGGTCAAAGATTCTGCCTTTCCTAGATCCGAGTATGTAAATGTTAAAGGTTCAATTCAATTCCACTTCTGCTAAATCTCCAACTGTTATGACTGTCTCCAATTCCCTGAATGTCAAGGTTGATTTGCCTAGGATTCTCTTCAGAAGAGCTTTAAGAGTGATTGAATCTATACGCTCCCAAAAGCCTCCCCACCATGCCGCCCTCTCAACTATAAATTTCCATTGATGACTCCTTGCTTAGAGAACTCATCTCAAACTTTATTGTTTTTCATCACCTCGTTCAATAGCTCTAATCCTTTTTTCACTCTTTTAAAGGTTTTGGCATTATCGGTATACACTATTCGGCACAAATCTCTTCTTGCTATGAACCGTCTAAATGCAAGCAAAAATTTTTCTGTGGAAAGGTCAGCTGTAAGTTCTAAATGCATGGCTCTAATTACAGCACAGGTAAACAGTAAAACATATGTCTTAGATAATTCTCTTCCACTTTTGACATGCAGTGGACCCGCGTAATCTATTCCGAAGTTCTCAAACGGAAAGGCTTCTCGTCATCTGCCTGGTGGGAGAGGTGCCATATCTTGCATGACAGGTTTCGTTCGAAATATTTTTGCAGACATTTCAATTGTACAGAACACTTTTAATTTTCCTACGAGCCTTCAGCAACCAAAACGTATCTCTTATTTGATTTAAAGTATCTGTTATTCCTCTGTGCCCTACCACCTGATGACTGTGAAGAATAATTATATTTGTTAAATGATCTTTGTCAGGCAACACGATTGTAATCCAAATTTGAATTTTCTAATGGTCCACCAACACGAATTACACCACTTTCGTCTACAAATGGATTGAGGGACTTCAGTTTTGATTCTGAACTTAATTCTTCGTTGTTCTTCAATGCCCGTATTTCATTTGTGAAATTTCACTCCTGAACACGTTTGATCCAATAAGTTTCTTCCATTTCCAGTTCAGTAACCTGCAAACATCCTGATAATTTCGAGGTATTTTTAACATTGTTGATGAACCTTAAGCACCACGCAGTAATTCAGTAAATTCGTTGTAAATTGCTGTAATTTTGGGCTTTAATAAATCTTTGGAAGGTTCGGTAACGTATGAATATACAGAAACTTCCTTTGATGTTTTTTTTAGTTCCTTGTTGGAATCTTCAATGTTCTTTGTGGAACATAAATTTGGTTTTGGCCAGTGTTCCATTTCTTTTTTTAACTACATAGGCCCTGGGCCACGTTCACCAGGCATATATCTCCAGTTCAAGACATCTGAATTCTTCTGTATTTCCTTCACTCTGTTTATTCGAATGGATTCCACCTTTTCACATCACTTCAAATCCAGTGTAACGTTATACTAGAACCAGTCAACATATATACAATTAAATCAATGTCCTGAAGTTTCTTTGGATGTATTTTGACAAGTGGGAGCCTATCAAAGCACCCAGCAATTCCAATCTGGGAAGTGATAATTTTTTCAAAGCTGCTACTCGTGATTTTGATGTAATGAAGCTTGTATGAATGACTCCATTTTTCGAATAACGGAAATACAGAACAGCCCCATAGGCCTTCTGACTCGCATCTGTGAGGCAATGTAACTGTAAACCATCCTTTATATCCCTTTTCTCAGCACCTGCAAACTGATGTCTTGGTGTTTCCAAACTACAAATATGAGCTAATTCATCACACCAGCTTTGCCAATTCTTTCTGAGATTTTCTGGTATTTCAGTGTCCCATGCTATCTTTTGTTCCCATAAATCTTGCAATAAAATCCTATCTTGAATGGTGTATGGATTTAAAAACCCCAATGGATCAAAGAAACGTCCTACAACTCTCAAAATTTCCCTTTTAGTGGGTATGTTATCTATCCTTTTGGCATCTTTTACCAAATCTTCAATTTCTATCAAAAATGTATCATTTGACCTATTCCAATACCCCCAATACTTTAGAAAAAGTTGAATCTTCTAAAAAATCTTCATTCCATACCTTTTGTAAATTCATTTCATTTGTTTTCCCACTTATGCATGTTGAATCCACCTTCTTTTCAGTACGCGTTTAATATGTTCCGATTCCTCAAATGCTTCTGATTCTTCATCTGCTTCAGCGATTAAGTCGTCAACATACATATTTTCAGTTAGTATGGAAAATACATTCGCAATTCGATTTTGATGGAACTTAAGGAGCAATTCCAGTATGTCTGGACACATCTTGGGACTTGAATGTAAACAGTCATTTAATGACAAACAATGCTCCGCATGTGACGAAGCGTCAAAAACCACACAGAGTTATAGTTTCCTTGTTTTCTCTTATAACGGCTTGATGTGGCATAAAATACGTTTTTGGTCCAATTTCAATGTTAGTCTCTTCGGCGATTCCTTCTTTTAAGTATTTATCAATTACTTCGCAATATCTGTCATAGAACTGTTGATTATTCCGAAATCTACAATCTACAGATTATCTCCAAGCTCATTTGAATTATGATTCCAGGGAAGGCTCACAATATAATTGTTTTCAAATTTCACAGATCTTTTGAAATTATCGAAAACTAAATTATCTTCTAATTCGAGTTCCTTATCCGAATCATAATTTATCCCCATAGATTTGAGCTCCCAGAGATTCTTCAGCAAACTAGACAGTGATTCGTTCTGCGTATCTTTATTATTACGAACCACAATCTTCATACTATTCACATTAGTTGGTGAAATTCTGTAAGACTTTTCTGTCCCACTAATGGTCCAACCCAATTTTATTTCAACCGCTACTAAGGAATTAGACAGTTTGTGAACCTTACCGTAACTATTTTCCAATAAAAATCCGCTCTTATCAGCAAAGAAATTTTCGGCGTTTTATTCCCTTGTCCCCATATATCGCAAAGTTGTATGCCCTGTTTTTTTGATAAGATTAACTGTTTCATTTCTAGGGGAATGAATATGTTATCTATTAATGACAGGATAAATTAAAGCTTCTATTTTGATTTCATATCGATACTTCGAATTATGCAAAATGAGAGTGGTTTTTTTTTAACATTCTGTGCTTAAGAATATTTTTATTTTTTCTTCTCCAATAACTAGAAGTTTTAATGTCTTACAAATGTCCTCCGTAATAAATGTTCGCTGCGATCCTAAATCCAACAACGCATGAACGCTTTGGTGCCAATAGTCTGTGTTTATAATGTCAGCTTGTACTGTCAGAAGAAATGAGTTATTTACTGGTGCGCAATCGGAAACAGAAGAGACTACTGCCCCTTGGACGGGCCTCTTGTCTGACACGTTCGTTTCGTCAGAGTGTATCAATGCATCATGTCGTCGAACGCAAATACCACAAGTTAGTTTCGATTTGCAGTTCCTTGCTAAATGATACCTTTTAAGAGACATGAAACAATTTCCACTTTGCTTTAACGCTTCCTTTTTCTCTAGCACAGTCTTTTGACATGATTCTGATGTATGATTTTCAGAACAGAATAAACAGCTATTAGAAAGTGATATGTTTAATGCTCTTCTACCCTTATTATAATACTGATTTCTTTCATTGTTTCGAAACGGCCACTTGTTTTCAAAATGAGATTTCCTTTCAGTGGCTTTAGAATCTGTAGGCTTAATTAAAAATCCTGTACATTCTCGACTTTCTATTTCTTTTTTTAGAAAATTTAGCGAATTCGTAATTTTTGTCTGGTTGTCATCTTCATATTTCTTATTAAATTCTAGTGCTAAATCATTCAGAATCACCTTTATTAATAACGGATGCAATAAAGTACTGTGCGAATCTGGTAAAATATTACAGGATTCTAATCCTCTAATTTGTACTTCACAAGGATCATATAATTTTCAAAGTGCTATCACATTGCAAGACCTTTTAACTGGAGTTAGAGTTAATAAATTGTTCATGTGGATATTAGTTCTTTGCGTCCGAAGCGATCTTTTAATATTTTCACAGCCTTCTCGTAATTCTCCGCTGTTGATGTCAACCCTTGTATTGCAGTTTCTGCATCGGAAGTAAGAATTGACTTTAAATAGTTAGAATTATCTACTGCAGGTAGACTTTCGTTTTCGTGTACAGCTGTCTCAAATCGTGCCCAAAACCCGGGCCTACTGCACACGTCCTTTCCCAAAAACGTTTCCAGGGCCAATTTGGGGAGTTTAATTTTGTTTTGCGATTCAGTGACAGTTCCACATGAAGTAGAATTAGCGCTATGTGGATTAGTATCTAAATATCTCTTCGCACGTCATTCCCAAACAATAATTTTACTTTTATACTCTTCTCTAGAAATTATTTCATCTTCTAAATTTGTTACATCAATTAAAGTTTCAGTACCATTATCCGCTAAGATTAGTTCTTCTTCTTTACTAATTAACTGAGCAACCGTTTCTTCAATTACATTTTTATCCCCCTCATTAGCATTTTCTGTTTCTATCTTATTTATTAGCCTTGTAACTACTGCTCTTATAGCAGAACGTTTCTTTTTTAATTTTTCTGAATCCAAGTTTTTGCTTAAAGCAAAATCTATTAAATTTCAGTTCAAATTCAACCCAGTGGCCCCACGTTATGGCGCCACAATATTATTATTTACTTTCTCTTAACGCTAACGTTAGTGTTATTTTACACTTCTACCTAATTAATCAAGGTAAAACCAAACTGCTTACCTTGTCCCAATTTTTTCTGCCAGCGCCACCGGTTGAAATTGATCTCCATCTCCATAAATGCTTTGAAGGGAGTAATCCCTAAATGATCAATACATTCTTTACACAGACATAGTTTAATGAAGACGCAAATGAGTTACAGAATATTTACATAATGAAAAGGGTTTAAATTTGTAACTTAGCGTGCGACTTCTTCGTTCCAAGTTCTTGTACGATCTCTGAGTGAGAGTTTATAGTTCGCGATGACGTCACTCAGCCATCGGATAATCAGACTTTTCAGATATGACGAAGTTTTGAGAGACTATTACGATTTTTAAAATGGAGAAGGGGAGTGCCTAAATTAAAAAGAATTAAGGGGCTATTGCTAATTTAATATGCAGTTCATAGTTACATATTTTTATCTTATATATATATTTTCAATGCTTATTTTTCCTCAAAAATAATTTTTATTTTTAATAATCATAATAATCATCTCAATATTTTGATCTTTCCATTTGGACAGATAAAAATTTAATCTTATAAATGGAGCCTTTTCCACATCTCTATCAAAATTTGCTGAATTTTAGCAGTTTTTCAAAGCTGAATAGTTATTCTGTGGCTACTAACAATTACTGGTTATATTATATATTTTATTCATACGATGATTAAAATTAATAATCTTTATTTGGGAACAGTGATTTTTGCCTCCTTAATATTCCATTTTGTTTGGGATTGATTATATTCATTCATGTAGTAGGAAAAATTGTGAATTTTTTTTTTTTTTTTTTTAAATTTATATCAATATTCTTGGCTGTATATGACTGAAATGAAATTGGGGAGCATCTATATAATAGCTATGCTGGAATATAGTAGAATTTTAAGGAACAATAGGAATGATTGCATAGAATTATGTAATAATGATTAATTTATAATTATTTTGACAATTTTAATTTAAATTATATCATTGTTAGCATTCTTGTGATATTATTATTAGCCATGTATAACCAAGAATATTGTGGAAACTTTCATCCCCCCTTTATATATATATATATATATATAATATATATTTAAAAACCATATAACCATATTTATATTTAAAACCATATAACATTTAAAAAAAGGTTTTTTAATATCGATTTTTTTCTTGAGTTCTGAGAAGTTTGTGGATTTGAACCCATAACTATGTTCCGTCGTTATTATTTTAACTTTGATAATTTATTTCCCTCACATTTAGATTTGTGACACAGCATAAAGATAAAGTACCAAGTTTCATGCCTATTCTTTCCAAATTGGTTTTTCTTCCTTTGAGTCATTCTTCTGGTGAGGTACGAAAGGTGGCCATGAAAACTCTTGAAATTTTCCCTAAGCCAGTTCTCGAAACACACAATGAAATTATTACCTCCAGTCTTCTCAAATTTGTTAGAGAAGTAAGTTTTTTTTTCTTTTTTTTTTCCCTTCCTGTGTGTGATGGTGTGTGTGCAAGTGTTTATATATATATGTGTGTGTATATATATGCATTTTTAGATATAGTGCATTTAAAAATAAAAAACCCTATGTTTTTGGAATTCTGAGGTTAAAGCTAACAAATTATTTCAATAAATATTAATTTTAGATCTAAAAAATGACAAGGGCAATAATATAATGTGATTCTAAAGTGAGATTGAAATAATAAATGGTTATATATTAAATATGACTCACTAAAAGACATGAGCAATTTAGCTTTCCGAACAAAAGCAAATGAGGAAAAAACATTCAAAATGACTTAAAAATATTAAAATAATTGAAAACAATAGCATAAAACAAAATATTTTACATTGTTCTAGAATTAAAAATATATAATGCACCAAGATTGTGTATGTAAAGAGATTAAAAAATGTAGCTAAAAATTTTATTTATTTATTTATTTTTTTAATTTCAAGTATATCTGCATTTGCCATCTGTAATGTGTTAATACAATTGCCTGTTAAAAGGAAGCTTTAGAGTTACCATGTTGTGAGAAAATTGGTAATACAAATTTTATACAGACACCTTTAATTTTGAAAATGGCTAGATATTAAAACAAGAAATGATGGTAAGTAAAATTCTGGCAAAAAAATTTTTTGAGAACTGAAAAAAGAAATCAGAACAACATAAAGTCTTCATACAACATAGTATCAAAGTATCTCAAAGAAAATGAAATGAACCTGGTTAGTAAAAGATAATTAGTCAGAGGAATATTTACAAATCACAAATTTAAAGTTGCACATCTATTTGTATCCTCTTTTCGTTTCAAAATAAGGAATAATTTATTAACTCAAAATTATAGTTAGTAGTTAATACCAGTTTTAAATAGAAAATCAATAAAATTGGTAGGTATGTTATCTTGCAGTGTGTATGTGTAAGGAGAATTATTTCTTCTTGTAGGGCAAAAGCTTCTGTACAAATATATTTAATTCTGATTAAAAATAGTATTATCTATTACTTTTTTAGAAGTATTAGATAGCCATTTGACTAATTTAGTGTCAAAAAGTCTTATAATTAAATATGTTTAAATCCAGATTATCAATATTTTGATTTGAATTTGTTTTATTGAGGTTTAAGCAATTAGTGTAAGTTTAGATAGTTGTAATTAATCCAAAATTATTAATGGAATTAATTTTATCTATGTGCCTGTAGGTATAAGAAAGTTTTTTCAAATTTGAATTATTCAGTGTATGTAAAAACTTGAATTTTTTAGTAAATAAGAAAGGATTGCAAATTTCAGTAGAATTGTTGATGCCCATAGGAATTTCATTAATTTGTAGAAAGTCTGAATCTTGAAACTCTGTGTTGTTGTGCAATAATAAACATAGAAGAAATTCTATTTAATGTTGTGCAAAACTGTAAGCATGATAGGAAAAAAGTTAGGTAAATCTAGAAGACGTCTATAATTTGTTTTAGTGGGAGTGAAGTACAGAGATTTTTGAAGTCATAGCAGTTAATATTTTGTATGTTAATGCTTTAAGTGTACCAAAAACTGGTAGATTATAATCGATAGTTCTGCAGTAATAGTGATCTTGATTTGCTAAAGTAAAGATGATATGACAAATGACCTTAAGCTTTTGAGAAAAAACATAATTTTTAATTTATAATTTTTGGTCTATTAGCCATAAATCTGAACTTGAGTATATTTTGTGAAATTGGTAAATGTATACAAGCAGGCCCGTGCCGACAATAAGTGCATGATGGCGCAGAGTCAAAAAGGCGGCAGGCAGTCATTAAAACAAGCAGTCTGTCTCGCTGCCTGTCTGAACAGGAAAATTCTTGTCTTATTTGAACGCTGCCTCCCGCAGAAGATTGACTCAGGTAAAACCTGGGAAGCTACTTACTGATTAGGCAGTCTCGGCCACGGGTATTTAAAATCAGTCTTCACAGGACTGGAGTCATCACTGGCGATGTCTAGTTCAGGCTCGACAGGGACCACATGGTACTGTTCCATTGGTTGTGGTGGAGCTATATAGTCAGATATTCATGCTGGTTGCCCGCAGCGAAACATCCCCATCGGTGGAATTGGCAAATTCAGTGAGCCTTTAAACTGCTTGAGGTTTCCATCCTCAAATTCAAAATTCATATCCTTTCTTGGTTTTCCCCCTGGGAATGCCTAAAGCCGACATCTGTATACCATGACGTAGTGTTAGCAGGCCGAATTGGTGTCTCGGTCTGTCGTCTCGCAGTGCTTAAGTGACTTCGTTCTGCTGTCTGGGATGGGGGCAGCACCTCCTAACAGAAGACACCTAACAGAACCTCCTAACAGAACACCTTCTGATAGGAGGTGTTAGTTAGGGGCCTCTATTGATAGCAATATGTTTTTACCATCCCTCCAGCATGGGGACTTGACATGTGATTTGTTGAGTATTCTTGTTGACTAAGTCTTAGCTCATTGGCTCAACCGATAGGTTAGCAGCCTCTTGGATCACCTCTAGGGGATGGGGGGGCCGTTTAACTGTTTTAAAGTAGCCTCGAGCTTGCCAGGTCTATGTGCCCCTTCTTCCTAGCGCACTTTTAAGAATATGTGATGCCGATGCTTATATAAGGGTAGATGCCGGCGCCGTAATTGCATTCAACAAATTGCTTAATCAGGCTCACCAGTGGCTGAGAGGTAAAAGCCACTGAACACTGGTAAGTTCGGTCCAAGGTACGAGTCCCAGCGAACGGGCTGGCTGCATGGGCGTTTTCGTGGTTTTCCCATGTGTGACGTAGATACGAGCCAGTTTCCCTTATAAAGACCTCTGCGGGGCACCCCTCTCTTTCCGTATAGTGAAGGGCGGAGTAAGTAATAAGTCTAAAAAAACTGCTTAATCCTTATTTTGTGTCTACTATTGCAATCGTTGTAATTTGTGCGACATTTATCTTTTTTGTGATTTTTTTTAGAGATTGCTTATTGTTATTCTACATAAAAAAGTAAGTGCAGTTACATATTTTATGTTAAACATAGGTTAACTTTTTAATTCGGAAAAGCAACGATTTGAGCATAATTACTCCAAAACTGTTTACCTCTCATGTTTGAACCATTGTCGTTTCCTTGGCCGCGTAAATTACTAATATCTAAACAATTTTCTACTTAAAGTCTTTAACAAGAATATTGTTAGTTCTTCACCGATTGTATCTGTTGTAACACAAAATACTAAAAAACTATCTTCAATACTCATGTCTGTATTTTCTAAATTAACATACCTCATACAAACTGTTATCTGCTTTTGATGACTAGCATCAGAGCTACAATGTTACTTTGCCTATTTGACCTTATTTAAAATAATTTGTTTTATATTATTCTCTAATAAGCTAATTGTTTCATTTTGAATTTTATCTTCAATGTAATGAAGCATATTTTTTGAGTTTGAATTTTATTATTATTATAGACATGATAGGTTCAAATTTTGCGATCAATTTTATACACTTTAAAAAATTATTTCTTTCAAATAATTTGTTTCAAATAATTTGAACCATTGAAGGCCAAGTTTTGTTTGGCTAAAAACTAAATGGCATAAATAATTCTTTCAATAACTTTGCGCCTATGCTCAGTCTATTTTTTGATAAATTTTGAAATTCCGAATCAACAGGTTTTTTCTTTCATTATCGATCTAAGAAATCGGACCAAAGTTGTAGATTCCGGAAATACATTTTATTTTTTCCCTAAAGTTTGAAGTGCTTATTTAAGTGGTTCCAGTATTAATCAGTTAACTGTGGCACCCTCTTTTAAGAGTGCATACTGTTTTGTGTCGCCAGAATGGAGTCATGACGAGTATATTCGTCATTCACAGAGTAAGTTGCTCTGGTAAGATATTGGATGAAAAAGATGGGTTTATTTTATAAAATTGAAAATTTTATTACTAATATTTACTTATTTGGTTAACATAAGCATGTATTACATATATATTAAACTAAAAAAACAATAAATTAAATTAAACATTATTCATATAAAAGTAAGAATTTAAATTCCTGCTGTGGAGTGATATTCAGCTAAACAGGGTACTATACACAATGGGACTTTGCAAATCAAACACCAGTAACTCGATTCCTTCATGATCTTATGTTTGTAGCAATGGAAACACCTTTGCATAGGATTGTTTTTTTTTTTTTTTCGATGTTCCGGGTATCTAATCCGGAACATGATTTCCGCCTAATTAGCTTATATTAGGTCTAAATGGCCCGCGTTTGTTGATGTATTCTTCAATTAGGGTAGCTTAAGTTCAGACTATTAGGAGAGAAAGTCAAATTCGTGAGTGACGAATGAGTTAGAAAAGCAAGAAAGGATTAAGAGGGTGGAAAGCTAAAGGGAAAGAGAGCGATACATAGTTCGTGGGGAAAAAGTATAATAAATTTGGTATTATCAATATATAATAAGAAGAAAATAATGCACTATCAAGAAAAGGCACATAGAGAAGCAAATACTACAAAGAAAATAAAGAGAAGAAAAAACAACTGATAAAACAAAAAAAATCTTTTATTGAGTCAGTTACTTTGGGATAGTGGACGGACAAAAAAAATAATGGAAGAGTAATAAATCAATAATACAACAAACAACAAATATATCACAGACGAAGGGGGGGCGATATAGAAGAAAGAAAAAAAGAACTACGAGGAAGTCAGGAGTGGAAAAAGAAAGGCAGAGCAAGAATCGAATGAGATAGGGCAGCAATGAGACAGCAGTAGCAGCGCAGAAGGGCTTGAAGTTTCGCTTATGTGAGTTTGGCCTCCGTTGAAAGTAAAGTACTCCACCATGGCACTAAGTCGCCCGCCTCGGGTGGCACAAATAGCGGGCAGTATCGTCTGCAGATCAACTCAGACCATAATCAGCGAACGACTCGCGCGCTGTCCTCGAATGGGAAACAGGCAGTATGACATAAGCTGGTGGGCATGTGCTTGCCTGACGGGAACATTCAATGCCGATACACTTGGGCGGACATCA